CTTCAGTACAAGTGATGTACATGAGTTTACTCATATTAGTACTGTTAGGGACCAGAGAAGTCTTAAATTTGTTACCCTTAATAATGGTACATTGAGGTCACATCCTTCGTTGGATCATGGTGCGAACATAGTTTTCCTCTGTGACAATTGTTGGAGTCCTTTTAATGACTTAAACGTAGACCTCAAGGTTGTGCGCACAACCCAAGGTACACTATTACCTTGATACAGTAAAAAAATTATGTACCAATAAAATAAAATGATTATAATACCCAAGTAAATGGGTGGCCCATATGTATGTGTATAAAGTACCCGCATGATAAATATCATGAAATGAAATATAATTGAAGTGAATTGAAACTCCGGTTCCCGATATTTAATAAATAAATACATATATGCGTGAATAGAGAGAAATAAAGCTAGCTAAAAGTCAAAATATTAATTTAAAAAAAAAGAGAAAGTACATACAAGATTTATGAAAAGAAATGATAATAATAAGGCCTAACAATCTACAAAAATACAAGGTAATAAGGGGATCCCCGACCAAATCCATAGGGTTGAATAGATAGTTATTTTGCAATTTTATATTAGGATTATTAACGCTACCCAAAATGCTACTAGCAAGTTGCACATATAACAACTATAGGGTTCGATTCGCACAACTACACGTAAATAAATAAAAATATATCAACCCAATATGATAAGTACACTTTCGCGTAAATTTTATAATTTACAAGACTTTTTCATATTTAGGCACATTGATTCATATTTACAATGATTCTACTTTAAATATTTTTTTTCTGTCTCATGTTTTCTTATGTAAAATGTGTACAATTTTGAACTAAATTTATATAAAGCTTATTATTATCAAGTCCAAAGGTTATCGATACACTATTATTGTAAATTTTATAATGTAATAGTTTTTTTTTCTATAAAAAAAGGCAACGAAAACCTAAAATTGTGTCACCTGCTTGAAATAAAATTGTCTTTTCCAATGTAAATAAATATTTTGTAAAAAAAAAACTTTAGCTGTGTACCTAACAGTGTATTCTCTTTTTATATAAATTTCTATCCCAATTAAGATAAACGTATTTCTTAGAAGTCATGAAATAATGAGTGTTCGAAATTATTAATAACTTAAATAATGAATGTTTAATAACGTATCTATGTAAAAGTAATATTTATTATTAACAATGTAACTATTTCTAAATATCTGTTCCAAGTTTTAAGGTACATTTTATTTGCATTCATACTGTAACATATTGTACAAGTTATCTTAAAATTAGGCGTGAATCACACCGTGTCATCATAGTCCGATGTAATTGCAAACGTTACCTTATACGTACTCAGAAATTTAAAACAAAGGTGTCACAAACCGCTTACGCGGCTGGGATTGCAAGTTGTATTTTGATTCCCGTTATTATGATAGCGATGATACCTACGTTGCATTACATTATGTTTTTGCTCTTATCATATTTAAATGAAATGTAATATTATCGGTGTTATATTCATTAAACCTTCAAATCACATGCTTTTAACATTTATAAGTCATTATTATCTGAAAATATAATGGAATATTAATGTCTAACCTATTTGTGTGGATCATGAAAACAATAGTTAAACAAATATAAAGGTATAAATAAATTAAATATAAAGTGTATACAATTATAAATACAAATGTGAATAAATATTTTTATAAATATACCTTTATAGGTAGAGCAGGTACGGCTTAATATGAAATGTAATAGTTTATTTTCAGTTTTATATTGTTTGAGCTTTTAAATCATAACTTCTAACTAAAACATATTGTATATATTAAAAGAGAAACTATAGTTTATGTAATAAATCTCGAGTGAAAATAAATGTAAAAAAATATATAAATAAGTATATGGTATGATTAGGTGGACATGACTGGTAAGACATGCAGGAAGTCGATGGATGCAGGTGGCTCAGGACCGTGCTTTGTGGCATTACTTGGGGGAGGCCTATGTTCAGCAGTGGACTTGTGAAGGGCTGTAATGATGATGATGATGATGATTAGGTGATATGTTCATGTTAACGTGCAGTTGTGACGTTGATTAATATCAAAAATACGACAGGCTTAATGTCGTACGAAATAAAAAAGGTTAACGAAATAAAATCGCACGCGTATCACGGATTGACTTAATAATATAATTATGTATAGCCATGGTATAATCTGATCATGATCATGAGATTATAATTTTTTTAAAATGAAGTTAGTTTTATATTTTATTTAAATACTTTATATTATTCTAAATAGAAATTATATACATTTAAAGCCTATGTAACATTGTATTTTGTTCTTCAGTATTAAAAGATTAAAAATCAATATTAAAATTATTCAATATTAAATTAATTATTACGTTATAAGATTCAAGAAAACTAAAATGTAAAAAAAGATAATTTTCCTTTTTTTAAGTGTCGGGGGAGGTGTTTATTATGATATGATATGAGATTATTAAAGATAATAAGAATTATACAATATGGTAGAACATTATAATTATGATCGATTCATTGTATTAACATACCTTATTATATAAGCGAAAATAAAATAAATTGTTAGTACATTTTTTTATTGCGGTGGAGATGAGATGTAAGGAATAGATATAAGCATATTACATATAAACATATACACAATGGGTGCGTTTGGCAGAAAAAAGCGCTAGCAATCGCTTACAAGCGCTAAAATAGTTTTCGGCCAGGACACGATTGCTACTTCAGTAGCGCTGACACAATCCGCCATTTTGCTTATTTAATTTGTTTGTTTTGAAGTAGAGTTTATAAGTTGTTTTGTGCAATATTAGTTTTAATTAATATAATGACATGAATAAACATATACATGTTATTAAAAATTCACGATTGGTAAGTTTTTAATATGAATACGTTACAAACATATATTTAAATTAGGTTAGGTTCCCCGGTTAAAACTAACATCGTGTCCTGGAGGAAAATAGCTACTTACGATTTGACAGCGCTTACCGCTTACGATCGCCATTTTGCTTACAAGCGCTTGCTAGCGCTTTTTTCTGCCAAACGCACACAATGTAACCTACTTGTAACTATTTAAGGATTGATTATTGCAAATATATTCAGTATTTACTCAGCAGTCTTGGCTTTCATTTCTCTCTCGTGCCACAACATTACAGCATCATTGAAATTAAAATGAAGAATTGAAGAAACATCACTTCTTCGGCTTCGGCACACTTCGTCGGCGAGCTGGCGGCGCAGGAATGCGTTTCGTTTTCGTGCGTTTGTTAGATATTTGTTTTTGATTTGATATGTGATAACGGTTATGTAATAAGGTTTATCGATATGATATGATATTTTGATAACGTAACGTTATTAGATATGTTTTGATATATCGGGATTAGTAATTACCGTAGACTGAGCTCTGTCTACGGTGGTTAACCTGGCCCTGTCCTCAGAGTAGGTACATGAGTAAATTATTATTAATCGGAAAAATAGACTGAAAATGACTTTATGCTTTATTACACTGACACTTATGGTGTCCATATTTCTGGGACACTATTTTCTACGGCGATCGTTCTCCTGTTCTCTAACCTCCATGTTTTGAACTTTTGATCTAGTGATGATGATCGATGTTGCAGAAACATCGATGTCGGTATCAACAACTAAACATCGATGTTTATCCTGCTCGAAACATCGATGTTGACCATTATCGCTATTTTTTACACATGAACCTATTTAATAGTTTACAAATAAAAAAATATTCATTTTGTTTATGGTTCATTATTGATGAAATACAAAAATTATAAAAAATTTGGTATCAGACAGTAATTTAAAAAATACAATGTATCTACACAAATACAATATATATATATACACTCACAAATCTGGTATAAAAATTACTATGGGACTTAATTTACGGTTAAGACGTAGTTTTTACATCAACTACTTCAATCGCAAAAGAATAAAGATGATTATAGAGAAAAAAATCAACAAATCCACAATCCACAAAACAATGTAATAGACTTTTCCGTCACCTTTGTTTACAATTTTTAATCAGGCAGCCCAAGTAGTAAGTATCCACAATCGTTTATAAAATGCACAGTTGAATGCACTATGCAGTGGAATTGTCTATGCTTACGCTCATGCAGTGATCTATTTTGATAACTGTTAGCGACGAAAAGTGAATTTAATTACTTATTTCCATTTTATTCTTATTTGTGATCTGAAACTACGTAAAGAATGAATACTTACCTCTCCTGATGCCAAGAAAACTCGAGAAGAGAGAAACCAAAGACCCAAGAGATCATGGCCTCGCGGTGAAGTTGTCAAGACCTATCCCGGACCAGACGGAAGAACCAGAGTGCTGGACGTGCGGACATCAGGAGGAATACTTCGCCACCCAACTCGACGGGTCATCGTGCTGGTACCAGCGGAATCGTCGCCTCCGGAAGATGAAGTGCTACGCACCGTGGGGGAGAATGTTAGCGACGAAAAGTGAATTTAATTACTTATTTCCATTTTATTCTTATTTGTGATCTGAAACTACGTAAAGAATGTTAGTGTTAGTAACGAAAAGTGAATTTAATTACTTATTTTAACTTTATTCTTATTTATAATCTAAAAAAACTACATTAGAAATGCTAGCAACGAAGTGTGAATTTAATCACTTGTTTAATTCTGTTTTTTTTTTGTAATTTAAAAACTACGCCAATACGTGATTTAACTACTTGTATAATTTCGTTTTCTATTATAAAAATAGATTTTAGTCAACAAGAAAATTCAAATGTACTCTGCATAATTACTAAAGATTAAGCCTAATGTTGTTATCACGATAAGCGTTGTGCATTCCTGCCGCCTGGCCGCGCTACGTGTATTTAACGCAGAAAAAGCTTAGCTACTAGGGAGCTATACCGTGAGAAGACCGCTACAGTATTAGCTACTAGGGAGCTATACCGTGAGAAGACCGCTTCAGTATTTTTATTTATTAAAGGTATAAAATAAGGATTTTAAGAATGTTTAATGGCCTGGATACTACTGCTTCCTCGGACTACTCTTTTTGGAAAGCCACCAGAAGACTAAAACGGCCTGTCAACGTCTCTCCTCCTATAAGAAAACCAGATGGTACCTGGGCGCGGACAGATCAGGAGAAAGCCAGAACTTTCTCAGAACACCTCTCCAACGTCTTTACCCCTCACCCATATGACGGCTCACCAGAAGATGCAGCAGAAATCACTAACCATTCAAATAACCCAAAAGATACGCAGGAAATGCCTCTTAAATTTACAAAAACAGAAGTTGCTCGAATTATTAGAAAATCAGACCCAAAAAAGGCTCCAGGATACGACCTCATTACAAACCGGATATTACAAGAACTACCTGAATCTGGCATAACTTTCCTTACTTCACTATTTAATGCCATGACCAGACTGCAGTTTTTTCCCCTGGAGTGGAAGGTCGCACAAATTGTAATGCTGCTAAAGCCAGAGAGACAACCTGAAGAAACAAAATCGTACAGGCACATAAGTCTGCTACCGGGATAGGTATCCAAAATATATGAATCCCTACTGCTACAACGAATCTTGCCTATACTCAAAGAGAAGGAGCTAATCCCTGACCACCAGTTTGGATTCCGCAGTAAGCATGCCACTATCGACCAAGTGCACAGGCTAACAAAATACATCATGGAGTCGCTGGAAGGTAAATCTTACTGCGCCAGTGCATTCCTGGACATATCTCAAGCGTTTGACCGCGTGTGGCATGAGAGATTGTTATTTAAATCGAAAAATGCACTACCAGATCACCTTTACGGGATATTAAAATCATTTCTCCAGCAGCGCCATTTCATAGTACAACAAGGGGAAGCTCTGTCAGATCTCTGCCCTATAAAAGCAGGAGTCCCGCAGGGCAGTGTACTGGGTCCCATACTCTATTTACTTTTCACTGCGGACCTGCCAACATCTGAATCATTAATCACTGGAACCTTTGCTGACGACACCGCTATACTGGCTACTAATAGCGACCCAAAAATAGCCTCACAAGTACTTCAAAAAGGGCTAAATGACATATCCCACTGGCTCAAAAAGTGGCGGATAAAAGCAAATGAAACCAAATCAGTCAACGTAACGTTCACCCTAAGAAGGGGCTCTTGCCCCCCAGTCACACTTAACAACATTGTAGTTCCACAGGCAGATCATGTGAGATACCTTGGATTGTACTTGGACAAAAGACTTACCTGGCAAAAACATATTTTCACTAAGAGAAAGCAACTCGGTATTCAAACGCGAAAACTCATCTGTGAGTTAGGACGAAAGTCTCAATTGTCTCTAGAAAACAAAATACTTATGTACAAGGCAATACTGAAACCTATTTGGACGTATGGAATCCAACTGTGGGATACTGCATCCCATTCAAACATCGAAATCTTACAAAGGTTTCAAAATAAAGCACTCCGAATGATAACTAATGCACCCTGGTATGTGCCCAACGATTACTACATCATGATCTACGCCTGCCTACTGTGAAACAGGAAATCCTACGCCATACTAGAACTTATAAAGAGCGCATCGAACGTCATCCAAATATTCTGGCCCGGCCACTCATGGCAAACCACAACAAAGCGCGACGCTTAAAGCAAAAGCGCAAGATACCACAAGATTTAATATAAACACAAACACAGTAAACCCAGTTACTGTTTAATAATGAGGATGTGACACAGGTCACATACCGAGCACGCCAGCGATAGTACCAACAAACATACTGCTGAATGTCCCTCAAAGGCGACAGATTGCTGTAAATAAAGGATTCAAAAAAAAAAGAATGTTTAATGTTTAATATGATAAATATAAACTAGTTCTAATACCAGAAATGTATAAAAACATTGTAAGGGATGTTTTACCACAAAAATAAAAGACATTTGTAAGTTTCCCTTAGAAAAGGTCGCCCTGCGCTCTGATTGGTCGACGGAAAATCATTAGTGCCGTGTGCAATACATTAGTGCCGTGTGCAAAATTCAACCATTGTGATTGGTCAGAATTGCCTATAAAAAGAGGCGTTTTTTGTGGTTAAACATTCCAAATCCGGCAATGTAAGAACAAAACATCAAGAAAATAAATAGAAAAAAACTCTGAAGAAGTGTTATTATTGCTCATCCTACTGCTACTGCATGCTCTCCAGTTGACATCCCGCCAGCAAACTAGCTCCATTACTAACATACCCTCACACGAGCATCAACAATAACCTTTATCTCCAGTAGAAGTAATAGTGTTCTGTGACCTTCAAGTTCAAGCAAATAATAAACTCGTAATGACAAGCTCAACAAACCAACTATATATAATTGAATTGCGTAGATACTTACACATTGTTTCAAAATTATGGGGGTATAGACATCAAAAGGGAAAAACAATTAATTTGAATATCAATTGTACTACAATAGCTACATATTACTACTATACAATAGCTACATATTAGGTGACAACCGACAACGACACCACAGAGTAACAAAGCGAAGCGAAGAAACTTTTTATTTATGATAAATCTGATTCACACAAAACTTGACCGAATAAAAACTCAGAGGTTTTTTATCCCCCTACATAGGAAAACTAGGGGTTTTTTGGGAAAATCTAGGGGGGAAGATGAAAAAAATCTGGCAACACTGCTCTTATCTATGGATCTCATTTTGTTAGTACTTGAGTACATCTATGGTTAGTAACATATTTATTTATCTATGGTTAGTACTTAGTACATCCATAGATAACTGACTATAAGTACATATCTAGTACATAGTCAGTAATAGCAGTAATATCAGTAATCTATCTGTGGTAATCTATGTAGTACATACTAACATACACACATGTGATTTTAGACATAAATTCATAATATTTGTGTTTTTAGTAGGATAGTTTTACAAAGATCAAGATTCAGATAATAATAGGAAACGAGGCAAACGTGTAATCATGTCGAATATATCGAAAAGAAGAAAGGAGGGCTCAAGGGCCAAGATCAAGGTAAAAAGGAGGTCAAGCACAAAGCACACCGTGGTCAAAAATCTAGTATTTAATCAAAGTTTGGACTTTAATAAGATTATAGAATTAAATGACAAACGAGGACACAGTCCACCTGATGGTAAGTGGATGCTGTGGCCCATATTCATCTACTTTTAGAGAAAGAAAATAAGGCAGCTGATGAGTTGTCACCCCTGAGGAGTAAGATGGAATGTTACTCTATAACCGTACGAAACGGTAGCGTAATGCTGCTATGTTTCGCTGGTATTAACTTATTTACTTAATTTCTCTTCGTATATAGTATTTATTATTAACAGCAGAACAAAACCTCCTTATCATATTTTTTAGTTTTTACTAAAACATCTGGTAATTGAACAGCCACTATGGGCTTGTTAATACTTCTAATTTCATCATCAGTATCAGAATAATTCATGGCTCGCCTTTAAATTAGTTAAGAACTTTCATAGAACTGAAGTTCAGATTTTTTTTCATATAGGTATGTTATTTTTTTAACAAGTACAAAGTTTCAATGCTCAGAAGAGAGCTCAATGCAAGAACTCTTAACTTTTAAGACAATTAAGAACAAAATCACACATTTGATGTGATTTGATGCTTGTTGTGTTGGGATTTTATAAAATTTACATATATTTTTTTTGACAATAAGTTAGTTTTGACAGAAATAATAATGGGTAGATAAAAGAGGTTTTGATTGAAAAATTTTGGGTAAAAATAGTTTTGACTAAAACTGGTAGTTAAAATCACTTGATCAGTACTATTTAGTAAAAGAAGTGCTTAATATTTTATAAAATGTTTATTGTCAACCATTTTTAAGACAAATCAGTTATTTCTTGATACTGATGTATCACATGCTAGTTGTAACTAAATTGAAGACGTCTACTTGATTATATTGGGAACAATAAAGTAGTAGTGACAATGGGTTTAGGTGGGGCTGACAAAGCCGCTAACATTTGGTTCATCTTACAGGCTTAGGTAAAACTAGTTTAGCCTAGGATAAACTAATGTGTCCTAAAATCGGATTTTATAGTAATTAAATGTTTATAATACAGATTTCCATAAAAATGATTTGATCGGAATTTTAAATTCTAGCATCGAACAGCTAAAATAAGAAAAGAGTGGAATGTACTGGAAGAGGCCTTTGCGTCGTAAAGACACACTGACACTCGATTATGATTCATAATTTTATACTTATAAGTGTATTCTTTAGTGTGATGCCACTACTGTTCTATGATCCCCTAGCAAAATGTTAAAAGGTCTCTAACAGCTTGTAACATCACGCACTTGTTGCCCCAGGTGATGCTTCTTGTAATGTGCACTGCGGATGATAGTCCGCCTGGCTGAGCCGGCCCGGTGACGCACCTTCCTAGAGCGGGCCTTCTGAACCTCTATATGTAGTTTTAGTTAACTCAATAGTAATAATTTAAAAAAAATGTAGGCAATAAAGGCTATAAATAAATAAAAAATTGATTTGATCGAAATTTTAATTAGGAATCAAAATGCAGAATGTATTGTCACCCTATTATGCGGTCGAAAAAAAGTAAGATAGTGGTGACAGTAAGTCTCCTACATAGAAGAGAGTCCTAGCACCTTGTGCTGTCCTTACTGTGTGAGACTGTGTGATAAGTGGTAAAAAACTCTAAAGTGGACTATTTCTCTCTAAATAGTTATAAATTAACCTAATAAAATGTATACATACATAAAAAGTCTAAAGAGCCTCACTATATTCACATAATCTTATTGTTCAAAAAATCAGAATGCTTAGTGAGAGATGAAGGAGCCATGTTCAGAGTTTCTATGCTTGATTGAGTTACAAATAAGGATATCTGCAGTAGAACCAGAGTAACGTAAAGTAGATCGGTAAGCTGAAGTAGCAATGAGCTGGCCATTGCCTAGTCATGTGAAATTGCATTATTTTAGTTTTATTTAGGTATATTTACAGTCATGTTATGAGAATTTAACCAATCGATATCTTTTAGTGTGCTATTGATATCAAATGCAAAAAGCCTTTTGTTCCTACATTTATGAATGATTCTTACGTCATCTGCCAAAAAAGTCGTTTTATGAGGAGTTCTTGTTGGTAGCTCATTAATATATATTATCAAGAGTAGAGGACCCAGAATACTTCCTTGTGGTACACCATATTTGTTTTAACCGATATTCAGACCGAATATTATTTTTTTTTATAGAAGAGGGGGCAAACGAGCATGCGGCTCATCTGATGTTAAGTGACTACCGCCGCCCATGATCAACCGCAACACCAGGGGAATTCAGGTGCGTTGCCGGCCCTTTAGAAAGGAGTAAGCTCTTTTCTTGAAGGTCCCCAGGTCGTATCGGTCCGGAAAAATCGCTGGTGGTAAACTATTCCACAGAGAGGTTGTACGCGGAAGAAAACTCCTCTTGAAACGTACAGTGGTGGATCGCCAAGCATCCAGATGGTGTGGATGGTATCGGGACGTTTGCCGCGTAGTGCATTCACGAAATTTGGCGGCTGGGATTAATCCGAACAATTCCTCAGAGCACTC